GAAGATAATCGAGAATTCGATGAAGCTACAGGTTATTTAAGTGAGTAAATCTCTTAAATGAATATAAACAAAACAAATAATAAACAAACAAAACATACCCCTAATTTACGATATATCCTAGTTTCATCTCGAAGCACATCTCGAACTGAAGTTAGGTATTCAAATCTGTCTTCATTGCTAAGCTTGTTGTAAAATAAACGCGACGATGTAGACAATTTATCATGAATCCTCTGCAAATCATCTGGTAAAACTAGAGGTGTTTCAGAAGCGTTCCCTTCTTGTGTAGATGTATCAGAAGTTGCGTCCATATCTTGGTTAGTTGGATTTTCAGTTGGTACCGATATAACTGTATCGTCGGAAGTAGGTACGGCAGAAGCTTTACCTGAAATGACAGAATGTTGTTAGTAGGCTTTACTAAATTGAAAAACTTATATATTCCCCAGAACTTACTCATATTAAATTAAAACAATGAGAAAGAAGTGATTAAGCCACTAAAAATATTTTAAAATATTTTATATGTGGCAATGGTAACACATGACATCATAAAGAGCTTGATTTATTAAAGATTAAAATGCGAAATAATACTCGTCCCATTCATTAATATCCTTCCCCAGTGATTCCAAAAGCGAATTGTGTTCCATTGGTCCAAATTTAGTGGATTCAGAAAATATATCTAATTATTAATTTTTTATTTGCTCAGAAATATTCGGAAGACGCCTGGTGAATTCCTTGAAAATAATATTACGATGATGAGCAAATTGAAGTTCATCCCATGCTTCTCTTCAAAAATGGGCTATATAATCATGTCCGGTATATGGTATACTAGTATTAATGCTCCGAAAATCGAGCCAAAAAGCGGAATGATTCCTCATGTTTCGAAACTAGTACTACTTCCTGTCAGGTTGATGGACGGGAATTCCTGTATTAAAAACGATCGATGCGATAACATATAATGCATATCATCCAAATGTCAAAATATTGCATGTCACACCCAAAATTTTGAAAATGACTCAAAAATAAATTTGGTAAATATGATTCAATTATCAATTATTACAAAAATTTTCTAAAAAAACTTATTGTTAACTATAATTTTCAATGGTTCTTTAAAAATATGTATGATCAAAGATTTATTGATAACGACCTATTTTAAAATTCATATCAGCAATATCTTTAAACTTTATTGTGAACAACTATTTTCAAATTTTCCAAGAAAATACTAATAAACTGTGATTTAGAAGATGATCAATCTTACGTAGCTTTATTTAAAATATTTTTTTTGCATAAAGACGTTTTTCCTAAAATAACTTTATTGAGAACCCTTTGATGTAATAGAAGCCAAAGCTCTAATTAATGCTGATTTAATAAAGAATAATTTTTTAGTGAAAATATCTATTATTTTTGTTACTTTGGTTGATACATGTATAGAAAAATAAAAATCAAAACAAAGATCGAGTCATCTCGTAACTACCCTGGATTCGAGTTTTTGTTAGGCGTTGACGCAACACTTGAGGCAGTATGATTACATACTCATACAAAGGACAAATCCAGGGGCTTGCTAACAAAGTATGTAAAAGCATACCTCTTCTTCATGGCCTTTGAATGTAAGTACAAAATATCTAAAGAAATAGACCGTTCAATTTTTAAAAATAGAAATCTAAAATAAAGTTAGCAAATCATCGTCCCTCAATAAGTCATTTCCATAAGCTCTTTGGATTCAAGCTTTATATTAGGCGTCGATCGCAACACTTCGAAACAACATGAAATATTATATACTCGCACAAAGAACAAATCAAGAATCTTGCTAACAAAATATGTAAAAGCATACCTCTTCATAAAGCACGTTGAACATAAGTTAAAAACTGTAAAAAAAACATGATCTAAATATATTTCCCCCTTATACCATACTTTCTTGACTTTTGTTTACATAAGGAACGCCAATTCATTCTCGTCTTTTTTTTTATTAGTGGAAAAAGAAGCGCTATAAAAGTTAAAAAATTCTGCTGCGTTTCCACTCATTTGATTCTTGTGCAAAAAACAATTTTCACTCACGACTTCCTTTTGAAACCCCTGGTTAAAACTTACTAAAAAATAATAATATAAAATAAAAATGTATTTTTTTTGAAGCAAAAAGTAGTGGAATGTATGGAATTCTTCGCGTCTCGAATGAAAAGTATATTTATTAAGCGAATTAAAAAAACCCCTATTTGGTGATACAGCGATAAAATAAAATATCAATATTTAAACTATCATTACATCAATCACATTTATCGAATATAATTACCTAAAAGGAATAAGATGAAGTACATTTGTATAATTTATGGATCGTAGTTCTGATAGTCATTTGGTTAAGACGTCAGTCCAACCCTATGAACGACTCAGTTCTGCGGTTCAACCCCAATGTTGTGTCGGAAATTTTAAGATTTCCTCAGAACATTATTGGCCCGAAAAACCGAAGCATCATTGGAATCCATTGATTATCCGGCATCCTTCATGTGGGGTATGAAGTTGATAGCGATGCGCCCCATGAAGGTTCTTTAAGTGGTATCATTTGGGACTGATACTAATATCTAATATCGCTAACCTAGGCGGCTTAAAGTTTTGTTTCTTGAATGAATAATTTTTTATTTTTTAATTTTTTTAATATAAATATATTCAAATATAAAATGACTTATTTTTGTAAAAATGACTACCTAAAATAAAAAGGCATAAATTTTGGTATATTTTCTCAAGAACTAACTTCTTTTCTTCAAATAAATTAAATTTATTTTTTTAGGATCTTGACTTAATAACTGAATAAAGTTCTTAAAATCCGACTTAGGTAGCTATGGCAAAAGTAATTCTTTAGGTGAAAAATATTTTCATATTTAAAAGTATCATATGATAGTCTCTTTTGCTAGGCTTATTTTTTTTATTTTTTGCGAAAATATGCAAAATTTTTTATTGTCTGAAACATAAGCGTAGGATCCTTCAGCTTTACGCTATACCAGAAATTTCATATATTTATGTTTTGTTTATGACGTAATTTGTATCGTTTTGTCTAAAATCTTTTAATTAAATAACGGTATTAATTATTTTATATTGTATTATTTTTTTTTAAAATAGAAAAATGAGATTTTAACAATTTTGCTTTAAAAATTAAAAAACTTTAATAAAATAATGGCATTATTTTTTTTATAATGTATGTATTTCTTTTTTAATAATAGACCTTTTTATATTTTAATAATATAATCGTTTATAATTTTATAATACATAAGATTTATTTGCTTTAAAAACTTAAAGATGATGCTTTATTTTTAATTAATAAATAATATTTAATAAAATCATTATTTTCTGAAATTAATTGTTGTTATTCATTAAAATTTAACCTGTGAATTTTCTCATGTCATATACAATGCGTACAACTTAGTCCCAACAAATAAAATTGACAAATTCAAATTGCTAATCCTTATTTAAAAAAAAATGATAAATATAAAATAAAACCTTAGGATAGTAGAACAGAACAAGCTCTTTAAGACCACGTTTTTAGATTCTCTGTAAACCTATTTTTAAAGAGTAGTAGCGATTTAAAGTTGAAGAATTTAACTATCAATCGGATTTTTTGGCCACTCCATCACCTGATACACGTGATCAATTTCCCAATTTTTGATTGCTTAATTTTCATTTTGTGATATCAATTATCACGTTTATAATAGTCTTGTTCAATTCTGTTTCATTTTAATCTGATCCGTTATTAAAAATAAAGTAGCCAATTAAAATCATTTAAAGATCAGATTAAATAAACAGATCAACAGATCAAAAAATTTCATGATCCATATGTTCTGGAAAAAAAACGCGCTTACATTTCATATTATTAGGACGACGTGTTTAAATTTAATGAATCAAAAATTTAATACATGTTTGAAGCCCGTTCCTATACTTTCAAAACCAACTATAGTAGAAATTTCAAATTTTTTTCCTAATGAGTTTGCGTCTGAGTCAGCATCTACTTATAAAGGACTAATTGATCTTACAGAGGTTTGTATTTTTTTTTTTATCTAAAATCTTTTCAATATAATTATTAATACAT